GAACTGGAAACTGGATAAAGAAGATGTGTTTTTTTAATAAAATGGAGTACTATTCAGCCATAAAGAACGAGAAACTAGCCATATTTATAGTTAAATGGATGCATATTGAAGCCATACTCTTAAGTGAAATAAATAGGACACACATGTGTAAATACCAAATAGTTTCTCTAGTGTGAGAAACTGAGTGTAAATAAGGGTTAAAATCATTAAAATGAATAATTGATTATTGGAAATAGGAAGAAAAGGTCCAAAGGGGTAGGGGTCATGGGAGGGAAAGGGGAAAGGAAAAATTATGAGAAAAGAAAAAAAAATGGAAATGAAATCTATATAAATAGGGAAGGGTGGAGTGGGTGAAGGGCGCACAGGTAATGGGGAAAAAATAAGAACCAAGATACATCATGTACAGGTACCCAATGACAATGCAAATGTATTGTATACCTAAAATGCACCAATGAAGGAACTTAAGAAAAAAAATTTATTCCCTGTAGTATTTTCTAGACACAACAGTTGACACTCAGGTTGTAATCCACATGTCAACTCCGTGGAAGTAAGCTATTCAAGACCTCCCAAACTAGTGTATATATATGCAACAAGCTTCACGGTTACAAGAATGTGCATACTTCTAGCTTTGGATACTTAGGACTCTGATCTCGGCAATAAGTCAGTGAAAGCATTCTTAAAGATGCAACATTGGAGATCTGAAGGATGACTAGGTAGCCAACACAGATTGAAGCAGGACACAGGCAGACGTGCAAGAGTATGAGTGCAGTAAGCAGTGAAGAGTCTTGGAAGCTGAATAAGCGGTGCTGAGTCCAGTTATGAATTGAATAAGGTGGCCAACAGGGGAAGTGGGGAGAGGTGTGGGCCTAAAGGAGAAAAATCAAGCTTAAGTTCAGTTTCTTCACACTATCCCTGTTGCAGTCAGCCATCTACTTTCCATTTCCTTGGCAACCTTTTCATTTCCAGAACTCCTAGAAGAATATGTGTGTATTTTCATTCAATGATCTGTACTTATTTATGAACTGTTTGTTCTTTGTTTATTACTTTGTAATATGTGCACATGTGCTTCTGTATATGCAAGAAACGAAGGTTAAGGAAAAATTTACCACATTTGGAAATCTTACCAAGTTACCCCTAGAAGATTTAAAATGACTTGATACATTTTTTTGTTATTAGCCTACCAATTGTTCACTTTGAAGTAAAATATATCTATTATACACTTTTAAAATATGATATATGCGATACATGCATAGAAAAACACTACACAAATTTAAAAACTTATTTTTAAAGATTTCCTGAATGTGAATACACTTGTGAAACTGATATTCAGAAAAATAATGAAACCACTATAATTAGCTTCATATGAATCCAAACTTTGCTTTTTAAAAGTACTTAATGAACCAAAAGATATGAATATCCTTTATAACTTTAATATGGAGAAAACTTTCTAAACTGTGTCTCAAAATCCAGAAGCCATTTGATTTGACAAATTTACTTATAGATTATTACACATAAGTAACCATGATTAGTATATGACATAAAATCAAGTAAAAAATTAGGAAGTTATGTTTATAGCTAACATCACAGGTGAGAAACTAAATGATAAAAAAGCCACACACTAATAAAATGGGAAAAATAAGAAGGTTAAAATGGGAAAATAACACATGCAGACAATTCAATATGTGACAGTGTCTTCAAGCTCTCTCGTATTAAAATTTAAAATTAAGTACACACTGAGGAGCAAATTTCATCCTAATGTGGTGAAAATCAAAATGTTTGACCCCACAATCTCTTGCCAAAGCTGGGTGGGAAAGGACATTCTCATCATGTTGGTGACAGTGTACACTGGCATGTATTTTTTAAAATTAATTTTATTGGTATGTTTTAGGTATACAATATGATGGCATTCATCATTGGAAATTTGTACCTTTACATAATATATCTTGGTTCTTATTTTTTCCCCATTCCCCTGCCCTCCCTTCAACCCTTCCACACTTCCCTATTTACAAAGACTTTGTTTCCATTTTTTCCTTACCTCATATTAATTCCATTAGGGGATGAAATTAAAACACTGACACATCTTTAATGAAAAGCAGGATTATTATGCACACGCAATTGATGGACTCTCACAAATACAAAATGACATAAAGTGTACTTTATTGCAAAATATTGCAGTAAATAAGCACAGGACAGAAATTAATATCAATCAAACAAGAAAGGATCTGGAAGGATATAAACAACATTATGTGGTTAGTAAGACATCACTCAGGGTTGAGTGGAAGCCTGACTGTGGAGAAGGAACTGAAAAAGCACTCACCTTTGGGCCTGGGATTTAGCTCAGTGGTTCCGCTGCTTGCCTTGCAAGCTCAAGGACCTGAGTTTGATCCCCAGTACCAAAAAAAAACCACTCACTTTTGTATTACTTGTTGAAAAAATACACATGCACAAAAATAACACATTATACACAAACTTTCTTATTAGTTTTCCCCAAAAAGTTAATACACATATATAGCAAGAGCCAGTTGCACAAACAGAAAAATATTCTTTACTCTGAAAGAGTATCATGGCCCCTTATAGTTAGAAATACAACCTAAATTTTACCACCAATTTAATTTCTAACAGTGTATTTTCAATTTGTCTTTAAAAAACTTTACATGTTGTAAATATATAGTATGTAATCTTTATATGCTCCTACTTTCAACAAATGATATATTTGTGAGAATCTTCTCTGTCATGCTTTATTTTTTATTGCGTTGTACATGTATATTCTATTGAGTGACTGTAATATGATGTGCTTATTTATTATCACTTGCATGAATATCTGTACAATTTTGATGGAAATAATGTCATTTGGAGCTATTGACAATAAATTTTGCTACAGAATACGTAATTATTCTAGTGAAAATCTTTATCTGAATATATATATATATATATATATATATATACACACACACACATCCATTGCACATCCATTGTATATACACTTATGACTGGAATTCTTTTTAACATATATATCTGAGTCAAAAGAATATTATTTCTTCAAAAATTAAAATTTAGACTTAACAAATGCAAATCAGTAGCAGCAAAGAAAATTAGCAGTGAGCATATATCTAGTCATGACTTCTAAGAGTTCTTGTTTTCCAGCTCAGCTTTCAGAAGTCATAAAAAATTGCCTACTTTCAGGAAAAATAACTCAGCAATTTGTCTTCTTGATGTGCATCATAGCTTTCCCAAGGACTACTCCACATCTGATTTTCGTTGTAAAGATCACTGTTTAAACATCTCCCTGTGATTCACATCCCCAGATAACATTTCATCTGTTGTTTGATGACATAAGAAAAAATACAAATTATTTTGATGGATGTACTTACACTCATGCAAACAATTTGAGACCTTTAGTGCTGAGTTTATTCTTTTCTTGAAGATTTTGTCTATATGTTTATTTATTTGTATGTTTTTACTAGGTCCTATAAATTTTTTTCCTGCTCTGTTTTTTATCTCCAAGTCGCTGTAAGATCCACTTCTTGTGAAACACTATATTTGGTTGATTATCCAGGCAGAGATAACACTCTATAAAGTATCATGAACACAGTTTTAGCAAGTGACTTCTTTATTGCTTTTGTAAATCAGGTGATAGCCTCCAAATCATCTAAAACTCTTTTCTTAAACTTGCCCTGGAATATGGACTTCTCAGATTCAAGTGCATGGAGATACATGGCTGTCAGTTCTCAGATTTACAGAGTTTCTAGTTCTTTGTCATGGAAGCTTCTTAACATGAAAAAAAACCAAACAAACTAGAACTACTCTTAAAATATTACAGAGTTGAGAGATATAAACTTTCCAGATGATTACCATAACTATTTATTTGTATCCAAATTTGCTGAAAATTTTTCTTTTAATAGAATATTTCCTCAACTTTATAATAATTTTGAACATATATTACAGCTTTATAATTGTTTTTATTGTTAGAACAAAATTTAAACTTTTAACTTGTATTTATCAACTTTGAAGAAGCCACATAGTAAGAAAAAATGAAAGAATATTTAATTAGCAAATTTCAAAAAATGTTTCAATAGATTTACACTTTATATTTAAAAAGGAACTATATAAACGTTTAAAATATATTTGTTTTATTTCAGTATAATAATGTCCACGTTTTAAATAAAAAGCCAGAGATTACAAGGAAGGGAAAAGTCTTTTACTTACCCAGGCATATAGCAAGAGAACTCCTGAGTGACAGCCCCACCAAGGACTTCTGGGAAATCTAATGTCCTTGAGGAGGCTGAGGAGGGAGAGGGAAAGGAAAGGAGAACCAGAGGGGTGGAGCTACATGGCAGGTTTGGAGAAAGTCCGGATCAAATACTGTAGCACTTTAATCAGGTTTCTTTTTTTTCTCTGCGTGGCTTTTTGCTTTTAACTTTATTTTCCTATGCATGCATGAGCCAGTGCACACACGTGAGCGAGTGCACTCACACAGTATTGAATTTTCTAACTTCTTCCTTCACTTAGATGAGCTCATCCTATAGAGGAAAGATGGAGTATAGTAGAATTATGTGCTAAGTAATTTTATTTCACAACAGAAAGGCTTCTGAAATGTTACTATTTTTGTATAGAGTATGGATCATCAACAAAGTACATTGTCCCCATTGGGTCTCATATTTAGCATTACTGAAAGTCAAATTATATATTTTTTTCAAATTATATTTTATATGGTGTTGGTTGTGATTTATTTTGATAACTTAGTAAATTATTAGAATTCAGAAATATTGTTTACTTTTGAATTTGGCATTGGTTCAAGTATCAAAACAACTGCATATTTATACTTTCACCTAAAGATAAAAGTATTTATGTAAAGTGGTATCCAAGGATGAGAACAGTACACAAGTATTTCTAATAAATTACAAATTTTGGTGGCTCTTTATTCTGTTATAATAGACAATGTCACCAATATTTGTTTATCCTTCATTACAGTATGTGTTTGGCATCTGAATCTCAAAACTCAATATCTTACTGTCAATGTTCATCTTATCTGATGATTTTTGTGCTCTTTGAAATTATTGATCTCTCATTTTATTTTTCCATCAACTATGGATTATTATTTGGGCCTTAAATATGGGTATACGTTAAATGTCTATTTTGACTTGGGGACAGGACTGGGTTTGAACAATCAGTCTGTTTTCCATAGAAGATTTTACAAATCAGGTATGTAAAAAGGATTCGATACATTTTATTTTAAATTGACAAGATTCTAAGTCCATTTACAGGAGGTCTAACATTAAGGGTAGTTTTTCTCTTCTCAAAGGAAACTGAATCAGTAGACCAATCATAATTGTCTACTATTTGTGTGTGTGTGTGTGTGTGTGTGTGTCTATGTGCTCACTTACGCATGGTTTAAATCTCTCTTCCTCCTAAAGTTACATTTTTAAATTGTGCATCAAAATAAATCATTTCCCTGATTTAAATTTTCAACAACACCTCTTTGCATTTTAAATTGTTTTCTCCTGCATGATCTGTCCCATGCTGTCTATTATTTTCTTACATCTCAGAACTTCCTCAAACACTAAATCCTCTATGATTAGTTAAACACACAAAGGTTCCCAAGTACTTGGACAGTTACACTAGTGCAGTCTCTGTCAGAAGCAGCATATGAGAGAGTGTCTGAGTACAACCAGTCCATCTTACAGTTGATTCAGAAAATACTCTTATGGGAATGGAAAATGGATACAGGAAGTAGAAAAATGATACGGAGAATGGGAGGAACCTCATGTGTTATCCAACAAGTTCCCTGTCGGTGACTAAAGGCCAGTGCCATATGATGGCCAACTGAGCTAAGATAAGACAGCAGGGCAGTTCATGGTAACTCCTGTGGGCTGCGCAGTTTATCAGTTCCCCGGAATTCTAGAGAATTGCTGTCAGTTACCAGAGAAAGACCTTTGTGAAAAGTATTCAGATTCTTGTCTCCTGGAAGTGCTAAAAGTCTGAGTCCACGTAGGTTTCTGCTCAGAACTGGGGGTGTAGCTCAGTAGCAGAGTGGACACTCAGTGTGTGCAAGGCCCTGGTTCAATCCCCAGCACCACACTAACAAAGACTGTATGCAAATACTATTATTATAGATTGCATGTTAATTTAACTACTCTTCATGTGTGTCTATGCTAATATTATATTTGGCCTCCTAGAAGACACAAAACTATTTGTTAAATTGGTATGTTCTACATTCTAGCATATTACCAAGCTCAAAATATATCAAGTGAATTAACTAAAATAGAATGGAGGAAAGCAATATATTATTGTCCCTATTACTTTCCCAGTATATAAAAAGGGCATATCACCATTTTATATATTTATATATTTTTTTCAGGATAAGTGTCTAGAATAGGAGCTATGATACACAACACATTTAATTTCAGCCCCTCTTTTATTTGTTGGTTTTTGGGTGTTTTTTGTTGTTGTTGGTATCGGAGATCGAACTCAGGTCCTTGCTCTTGCTGGGCAGGCGCCGGAACCACTGAGCTAAATCCCCGGCCCCTCAGCCCCTTTTTTTAATATAGAAGAAAAAGAAGATTTATGGGAAGTCTGTAGATCTAGTCTTGACCTTTGCTAAAACTATGGATTGTGCTCTTCAATTTCCAGAGCTGTCTATCCAGACAGTGAGTCATCAGGCAGAGAGACTGAACTGTCTGTTTACAAGTTCAATAGACATCTTAGTTCAACTGCTTATACCAGTGGTGACCACTGTGTGTGTTAATTGGCAGAAAATCGCCAACTGAGAGGGAATCTATGACCCAAGAAACATTTTACTGAAACTTTCATCTATGAATAAGAATAAATTTAGGACAAAGAGATGTAGCAAGGGAAAGAACTTACAAATACAAGTATTGCTAACTTTTCCTATAAGACTAGATGCCCCAAATTCTGATAACTTTCAACCAATCATATTGAAATATAGTTTGAACATTTAAAAGCACAAAATTTATCTATTCATAAATTACATCTGCTCTAGGTACATAATGGGTATTAAATATCTAAGTACAGAAAATAGCTGTTGACATAAAGAATTTTATTAGAATATATCCCGTGACAAAGGAGGTGTGCTTTTCAATCTGACAGCAACTCTGCTCCCCTTTCCTTTCTTTGATGTACATAATAGGTGCTCAGATTGCATTTCCCTCCAACACAAGGGACTATTCCTTTAAAATTAAAAAAAAAACAAATGAATGAGGTAAAAAGAAACACACATGAAGAAGCTAAAAGCTCTGGGCAAAGAAAATTAAAATCTTAGTGTGACATTAAACACCCTCAGATTTCTGCAATCTTGCCGTATGAATGAATTGAATTACATAAATATTAGCAAACTGGTGGCAGATGCCTGAAAAATTTCAAAATGCATTCAGATTTCAAAAAGAAAAAGGAAAAAAGAAAAATAATAAAGGAAAAGAAAAGGAGCCTCAAGTTAACTGAATTCATAAAATGATTGGCTTGTATGTTCAATGATATTGTAACTCAACTTAGTATTCAACTTAGTAACTTTCCTTTTCAAAAAAGTTTTTGTATAACCCTAGAAATTGAAAACAAATCAGGAATAAGTCAAAGTTTTTATTAAAGTTGCACGCAGTTATTTGAATTTTGAGTATTAACTCACAAATATTTTAGTATTGGTGAAGGCTTGACACACACTAAAGATCTGGTATTTATCTTTGAATGTCTCAAGATCTAGCATCACCTCTTCTCCCATAGCTGCATACAATCACAGTGTGGTAGAGTTAGGCAGGTAAAGATTGAAATGCGTGTTTTATTTTTGCTAAATTCTGCCGTGAGTGTATAATGTAGATGTGGCAACACCTTGACTTGAACACACACACACACACACAGAAAGTCAGAATTATACTACCTTTTTTGTACATCAACAACATCTACACAATGATAATGGATAACATAGTTTCTGATATTTTCTTCATTGACTTTTTTGCCCCATAATCTTCTGAGAACTTGAGAACAGCGATTAGGGTATTTGTCTCTGCTTCTCCATTGTGTTGAATGGGGAAGCAAAAAGAGAAGCGTATGTTTAAATGCACGGATAAATTAAATGGGGTTAATTATGATATTATTGATATCAATTGCATCCCAAAGATATTTCAAAGAATTTCAAGAGATGTCTTTGCCTTAGCTTTTATTTTAAATTTCTATTAAAAGATTTTTATTTAAGATATATACAGCTCCAGTGTCCATGCAAATATCTGTCACACATTACTGACATTTAAAGTCATTACTTGTTTGGACCTGTAGAGGGACAGTAATATGTGTGGCATGATGCTCTCTTGAAGATTCATTGTAATTCTGAACACCTGCTAAGAATAGGAAATGGATTCCTTATCATCATACAGGAAATAACACACTGTCCAAAGTCTGGAGTTGGACAGAGAAAATTCTATGCACTAAATTAGTTGGATTTATGGAAAGATAACGCAATTAGGAGCTTAAGCTAATTTGTTTCATCTTTTCCCTTATAAAATTCCACATTATTAGAAAAATCTAACAGTTCATGATCTAGTTGTTATTTTTTAATATCTGTCAATTGAGTATTAAAATATATTATCTTCTAGTACTTTTCCGGGATTACATTTCTATGATATAAATGATAAACTCCCTTCCAAAATAAAGGTAGCTATTCAAAACCAATATAGACTATTCTTACTGTATCTCACTATATGTAAAGACATATATTGTCTTCTATAGGAGAGAAAATATAGAATTATTTTTTGATCTCTTGTTGCTTATTGTCACTGCAAAAATTAGTTTAGAAATGCATCAAAAGATATGATTTGAGTGCAATTGTCACACATGATACTAGCGATATAGAAAATACTAAAGAAAAATCACTTGTAATTCAAAGGAAGTTTGTAAAAATAGTTTTCATAACACAAAATTGGGATGAAGGAGAGAAATGAATTAGATAAATCACTCATTTCTCTACTTTATCATTGTAAATGGAGTATATTTCTTCATAGAAGTCTTAATATTTATAAATGTTAGCAGCTTTGATTTACTGAAGTTAACTTTCTCCGATTTGATGTGCCCAGAATAATTATTTCAGCTAATCATAGGCCTTATTGTATGTTCATGTCAAACATGTTCAGCACACCCAAGTATTACCAACAAAAGACGTGATGTTAATCTTGAATACTTACCACGAGTGGAGACATCTCTCTGTCTTACAGCTGCAAATACTCAACACCCTGTTA